AGCTTAACACGAGTGATAGCAATCCAAGAAAAAAAACTTTGTATACTATCAAGAGAACTATTGGCTGAAGTTGTGTGTTTTTATTTAACCTTTTGGAGCTTTCTAATGTTTGCTTTTATAGCTTCACATTCATTTTGACATATTCCATTATTCACTGACATATCAAGAAACATGTATGTATTTATTGTATGACAGCTGAATAGGATAATAATGAAGAAAAAAAACAAATGATTTTTCCTTGCTATATTTCAATAAAAGTTTAACTAATTCATTGTTTCAGCTATGTATCAATGGACAGACCAAATAAACACCTGCTGAATTATAATAATCTTGCATTTAGTTTAAAGCGAAATAAAGCCTTTTCTGTACTGGAAATTTCAAAACATGAACATTCAGAATATCTGTATTTGGACTCTTACTCAGGGTTTCTGCTGAAGTGTTGTATTGAAAATAGCACATCTTTAAATATTATTCAGACTGGTAATGCTCCAAAATTTCTACTGACTAAGACGCATTAAATGCCAATAGCCTAATCAGATATTCATTTAATGTGTGCAGTTCAGCTTATTTATTCTTTTAGAAGAACAATGTATTTTAAAGCAATTAGTTACCATTTAAGTACAGAGTTAAGCAAAATCCTCCTGCCCGGGGGGAGGGGGAGGGAAGAGGAAGAGCATTATAAAATATCTTGGTTTTTCTCTGTAGAGGGAACTATCATACAATGTTTTTTAAATGGGCACACCCAAGACACTAGCATAGTTCAGATATACTGTTAAAGCACCATCAGAGGCTGTTTCTATTACAAAGAGAAACCCCAACATTGCTGCACGGGTACTGTAGATAAGTTAAGTATCTCCAAGTAGTTTGCAAAAAGAAAAGGCTGCCTGCCTGGTGATTCTTCTCTCCAAAGTGACTTTGCAAGGGGGTGTTTGCACAAGCACTTAGTTCACAGCAAGCGGTGTTGTAAATCTACTCTGCACTAGCCCACCACGCACTATGTGTCCATGTACACTCTGCTACCACGCATTGAAAGATTCCTAGTGCGCTATGATCTACTCCTATTTCAAAGCTGTCAATCAAATCACACAAGGAAGCTTTTGGTGCATAGCAGCAAGGCCCACACAGACACAGCGTGGGGCAGGGTAGATTTATATCCCAGCTCGCCACAAGCAAAACTTTTATGTAGACAAATCTTAAAAATGCGAGGTTCCACGTGTACTGCTGCAGTGATTTCTATATATGTTATGTGCTGTTTCAAAGAAATGTGTGGGAAGCACACACTTTCAGTTGCCAGCCCCACAAATTCAGGCTTGGGATTAGACAATAGAAGTAGCTTCTTTCTTCCTAATCACCATCCCCTAGCAAGAAATCTTATAGCCCGAATTTTGCTCTCAACAAAATGTACATCCCCATTAGTGTCCCCTGGAGTCTGCCCAACTGTAACTGAATAGGACTTCGTCAATAATTCTGTGGATGCACAAGTATCTGTACATTCCAGCTCATTCTCTTAGGTGAGCTCACTCGGTATTTCTAACTGGAGCAAAAAAACTAAACACTGATTTTTGTCTCTAATGAAACTAGACAGAACCTTTAATACACATGGGGAAACGGAGTAATAAACTGCCTTTACAGTCGCTTTTCAGAATACAACTACACTTTAAAAGATTTCATCTCAAAGGACAGAGCCTGATTTAACATGAGTGAGTCCCAATACCCTGAATATATCCATAACAGCTATATCATCTGATGCAGAAGGAACAACTCCTAGTATGCAGCTTCTGTAGTTCTGCCCATTGGAACCTCTAAAAATAAACACTGGACTTACTCAAAGTTTGTACTTTGCCAAATATAAAGGAAGGAAAGCAAAACAGCTCATTAGAAAAAGTATGACATGGCTTTGGTAAAGTATTTATATAGCACTGTGTAAACCTCATCTCTGACCACAAGAACCATTTCTATGAACAAGACAGCTATTATTATACCCACCCAATCTTTGATTTGTCTGCTGACACTCAGCATGGATGCCAAATAGTGATGAGTTTTGTGATGTGGACAACAAGAACTGGAGTGGATCAGGAATATTTCATCTGAATTATTGCTCACATTATCCCCTATTGGCTAGGCTCCCTACTTGGACTACATCTCCCATAATACACCCAGAATCATGAAACTCTCCAGCTTCTCTATATTGCAGCCTTAGTCCTCCAGTTAGCCTCCACCCATGGGAGATAATGCATACTAGGGATGTAAGCAACTAGTTGACTACCCAATCGAGTAGTGACTCGACTATTCACTTCCCCTTATTGCTGCCTCTATCCAAGAGGCAGCATGGTGGGGGGAGGGGGAGGAGGACCAGGAGCCGGCTTAAAAGCTGGTTCCCCCCAGCACCATCTTCTGGGTGGCAAGGGAGGCAGAGGCATAGCGGGTGACCGGCACAAGCCCTGGCTGATTGCCACCTTGCTCCAGGTCCCCAACACTGCACCTCTGCATTGTAAATGTATTAAGAGTTTCTGGGCTCTTAATTCATTTAAAAACCAGAGGCCCAGCAGGGGAGAGGCAGAAGTGCAGTGGCTCTTAATACATTTAAAAAGGCAGCACCACAACGGGGCTAGCTCCCAGCCCAGAAGCTACCCCTGCTGCAGCTCTGCAGTTTTCCCCTTATTGACTAAACGAATAGTCAATGGAAATTCCATCGACTAATCGATTAGCCGATTACCCACAATTTAACATCCCCAATGCAGGCCTAAAATACAATTACCATAAGGCAACAAAAATGCGCTTTGATGTTGATCTGACTGTAAAACACGTTTTGACTGAATTCAACAAAATGAAAACATTTTAATTTCAGGAATATCAAAATGTATTATTTCATCTATAAATAGCAAAATGAAATGTTTTAATATTTTTATTCAGACTGTCAGAACTTCTATAAAAAAATTCAGTTTTATATCCCCTTTGTGGATGAAAATAGTGAAATACAAGTTAGACATCTCTAAATCAAGACTTCCCTTGTATGACAACATTCTATCTCATGATCAAACACATCCTGTTTCCTCTCTTCCCAAAAAACACAAACTTCCTGGTTTTTACTTAAAGATGCAATGATCTGATAGTTGTAGCGCTTAGCAACTAAAAATCCGCTCTCCAAGGTGTAAAAGCAAGAAAAGTATAAGAGAAAGTGCAGTTTTACAATAACTTATCTCACTGCAATTTAATTAGATGGTTTTTGATATATTAAATCCTTATTTGTACATCATGAATTTGTGTCTTTAACAACACAAAATCAAACAAGTACACAGTTTGCTGTGACAGTAAGTTGGAAGACTGTTCATCTTTTTATTCATTTCATACCATAGGACAAGCTTTTTTTCTCCAAACAATTGTATTACTCAAATGAGATCCTGCCCCGTCCCCCAACCCCACCCCAAAATCAGATGGAACCTAGTGGAGACAGTTGTATATGAAGAATAAGATTTGATGGGGAAAGTCTTGCCTTTAAAGGCTGCAGTGGAGATGGAGTTATTCCAAAGGTTTGCTGCCTTTTCCTTTATGCCATATTGTTATTTAAAATCATGTCAAAGGTTCCCAGCATAGCAGATGGGCATCTGTTTGTGTGTTATAAATTGCAAGGGAAAAAAGGCACCATTAAACAGAGACATTTTCAATGAATGGCAGCTGTTCTTAATTGCAGGGGAGATCCCAGCCCTTAACAGTACAAATTGCCAGTTTAGGAAAGGCTTGATGTGAAGACTGATCCCTGTCTACAAACTAAGCACAAGATAAGGTGTACGTCTATATTTTTTTTAAACGAATAAGCTACTCACCTACAAACAAAATCACTGCTTTAATTCGCCTGTTCCTCACTGACTGTTTTTAAAGGCTCATTGTTCATAAAATGGCTCAACATGAAAGTCACCATGGAAACTACTAGAGAATATTTTTATAAAAATGAATTAAATATATATTGAAAAACTGAATCCACTGTTTTAAATTGCAAAATTGATCAGAATGTCAATCAATTCTCTACACAAAAAGCTTCACTTTGCATAACAGTACAAAACAAGTAGGTCTTGCTTCTAGCACAGATTTAATGACAGACACACATTAGGAAGTCTATTAAAGCTTTGTTATTTAAAATATACCGTGGAACATTTACTTGCTCATACATTATGAAAATTACCTTACAAATTGTCAAAGTTGAGGTACTTTGTGTGCTGCTGTTCCTTGTTTCTAACCAATTATCCATTTCATTCACAAAATTTTCCAAAGGTTAAAAAATTAGAGAGTCTATTTTATGTGCCTATGTGATTCAATGAAAAAAATCTCAGCGTTTTATTTCCTAAAAATCATGAGAGCTGTTAATAACTCTATCCAGATGTTCTAGTTCCAGGAAAACCAAGGAAATGGGATCTGGCAAGAAGTGCTACCATTAGTAGTTTAAAGTACTAGAGCTTCAAAACACATCTTCAAATAGCCACAATATTAAGTTATTTTTAGAAAATCTTGGTTGTTTAACAAAATCTAGCTTGAAAGCTAAATTCTTCATGTTCTTCCTAAATACAGACCACCACATTCAACTTGATGTGTAAAGGGAATAGAGAAACTGTTGTCATAGTTAAATTAATTATTTTAAATATTTTTATGTATAATCAGATGTGACAATGAAGTCAAGTGAACCACAACAATGTATACAGTAGACATGAGTAACGATCTGAAAATAATCTAGAAACTAAGTTACTCTGATAGGGATCTATGGTTCAAGACATTTATTAAGAATCAATACAAGAGGGTATTTTTGATACATAAAGATACTCACCCAATTAGAGATATGCCACAAGCATGAAAAGAGATTGAATGTTGAGTTAAACATTTTCTAAGTTAGGGTATATTCAGTTTTTTAATTGATCCCCACAAAAGATAGTCATATTAACAAAGAAACACAGTCAAACATCCTTCATGGCATGTATACACTTGACCCTTGCATTGATTTTTTTCCCCAGCACACAGCTTCTAAAATGAATTTGCACCAATGGCAATATCAACTGATAACACCCTTCTGTCTAATTGCAACAAAACACTTCAAATGCGAAATGTGGCTTTTCAAGGATTCAGGTATGTTATGGCACTATTTTTGTCAAAGTTAGAAAGGATGTTTTTAAGTGTTGTGTGTAAAGCTGACCTCACTGCACAATAGTTAAGTGCATATACATCAAATAATAAATATTTTCAAAAGTACTGAACTGATTTAAGAGTTCAAGTCCCCACTGTAACTCAATATGACAGACGCTTCTGAAAATTTTACCCATTACAATTTGTGCCACTGTGTCATTAGCCCCTTTTGAAGAGAAACAGTAATGCTGCATGTAGGAGAAAGACTTTTGCTTCCCTAGTGGGTAGTCTCAGACATAGTATTAGAATCTAATATTAATTGTAATTAAAAATAGAATGTTCATGCTCAGATTAATTAACTCTTTGCTAATGCAGACATATGCTATAGTGTTCAAGGAGTCAGTTGTTCCTAAAACATTCCCTGTACACACAATTTAAAAAAAAAAAAAAAAAAAAAAAAAAAAAAAAAAAAAAAAAAAAAAAAAAAAAGACACCATGATTCTGCTGCACTCCAACATTACCCAATAAGCTCTCAACACTCAAAGTTACAGCAATAGCTATAGCCCCAGATCTTTTAGAATCACCCATGAGCTCAGGACCAGCTGTAGGAAGATGAGCCCCATGGGGTTGTCAGGACAGCGCTGGCTGCTCCAGGACCACCCTTTCTACCTGAGGGCCCCCCCCCTTTCAGGAGCACAGTGCTGGCCTCCCATTGCCCAGGGACCTGGTGATCTTGTTGGCTCCCCTGACCATGAATTAATTTGAAGCAGCAATTAATTATTCAAAAAAAAACCTGATGATTTTAAAAATAAAACTTTTTTCCCCTCCAATATTTAACTCTGCTGTCAGTATAAGTCAAAATGCTAATCTAGAATCTCAGGTATACGCCATTTCTACCACAAAAACCTCTAGGATTTAAATTTCTGAAAGTTGATCATCATAAAGGCCAGAATTTCAAATGTATATACCTACCAGGCATTCTGTACATGCATAACCACTACACTGACAAGTCTCAGAAGGGTAGCTGTGTCAGTCTGTTTCTATGAAAACAACTACAGGTTGAACCTCCCTGGTCTGGCACCCTTGTGACTTGAGTGGTCCTGAACAAGGGAATTTGCCGGACCAGGGGAGGTCAGCCTCTCCTGGGGCTCCCCCTCCTTGCTGCTGCGCTGGGAGAAGCCAGAATCTGACCTCCTCCACCTCATCTGCCTGCTTCTGCTGCCCCCAGCCTATTCACGGGGCTCTGCCCACACAGGATGGCAGCTGCAAGCAGGGTTCCGCGCCCCTGACCTTCTGGCACCGTATAAGAAAGCAGCCACTCCTGGGGCTCCCTGACCCCACTGGGCCGCAAAGGCTCCTGGGACTTCCTGCCTCCATCCCCCACGGTCAGCAGTCTCTCCTGGGGCTCTCTATGCCCAGGTAACTGGCTCTGTGGGCTGCCACCCACCAGACTGGCTCCATTCCTAGCTGCTCTCAATCTCTGCAACCAGGGCTCTCTTGTCTAGCAACATATGTCATCCTGCTGGACCATGGTGTTGCCAGATCACAGAGTCCCAGACCAAAGATGTTCAACCTGTAGGAGTCCTATGGAACCTTAAAGACTAACGGATTTATTTGGGCATAAACTTTCATGGGTAAAAACCACTTTGTCATGTGCAGCACACTGAGGGATTGTGTTTATATTCCATCTTCACAGACAAGGCCAAACTGTTATAACACAATCTCTAGAGACATGACGCTGTGCTGAAAATGCCAAGTCCTGTGTACACAAACAGTTATAAAACAATGACAGCATAAATGCACTCCACAGCTGCTGGAAAAGACAAGTGTAGACAAAACTAGGGAGCACCTGATGAGCGTCCTATTCTCCTGAACACAATGAAGCGCTCAGAATCCTATGGCCTCTACAGTTTTCTATGCTGAAAAAGAAAGCCTTCATAAAAGCAATTCAGCAACCATTTTTAAAATGAACATTTTTTTTTAAAAGTTTACATTTGAAATGGAACATCATTCTGAATGTCTGGCTTCCAGACTGCCTTACTCCTTGGATGCCGGATGCATATTTTGCTCTGCCTCTCAACCACCGCACATCCTGTTTCACAGCAATTCCTATGTTATTACATTTTTAAAACACTGACTTGTGTGCTTTCCAATACCAACAATTAATCAGGAACTATTTTTTATCTACTAAGATTACAATATTCATTGCCAATAGCTCTTTGATGGCTGTGATGGCAGGGTTGCATTTATACTCCCCAAAATTCAGTTAATACAAATCCTGCTCAAGATTTGATGGACAGCTAATTTACTGTTACATGCAAGAGAAATCCTTATGTACGTCTCAAGTTCTGGAGAAACCCATGAGTCGCTCCTTGAATCCTCTTCAAATAATCAAATGTGTCATTTCAGCTATTTTATATTTACAAGTGGACAAAGGTGCAGTGACAGCAACCAAACTTCAACTTCGTACCCAAGCCTCCCATTCTCCTTCACATCTGTCTACTGCGTAACAAGGGTTAACTTTGGATTACAGACTTACTCCAGGAGGTTTGAGTTGTCCAAAATCTATGGGTACTAACATCACACAGTCTGAAGAGCCACTATTCTTATACAGCTGTCAAGTCATCATAACTCTCCCATCTTCCCATAGCTCTCCTTTCCCCCAAAAGGATTTTAGCAAGTCTGTCATCTAGTGATGCAGATGTATTAAATTTAAACAAAATATAATGATGCAGCTCATAGGTGGTATATCAATGGCTAAACAAACCACAGAGCACTAAGCAACCTGAATAGAGCTAGAGGGGGAAAAGGCTCCAATTTTTAGCTTCTGACAGGAAGACTCTGCCCAAAGGTCCTAGAAACCGCCTTCCTCCCCAAGAACTAAGCTAAGACCATGGGGCAGCAGTCAAAGCAAACTGAGCAGCAGAGGCAGAAACACCAAGGAAATGGATGGCAGAAAGTAGCAACTGCATTTCTTGAAGGCAATGGACAGCTCAGCGGCAGCAGCAGCACCTTTGAGAGTGTGGTGCAGAGAAGTGGCTGAGCTCAGCAGCATGAGCTGAAGCCCAAGAGAGAGTAGCAGGCTACTCAAAGGATGTTGATGTGGGCCCTTCTACCCCACATTTAAAGCTCAAGTCCCCAGGCAGCAGTGCCCTGCAAGAATCCTTGGACTTCTCCAACCCATAACAACCAACCATGAGTGATAAGCTGGGAAGAAAAGTCACTCCCAAAGGAGAAAGAGGCTGGACTAAGGATGTTAAGAGGCAGGTAACTGGGTAATTGTGCAGTCAATACAAACTGTATCGATTACATGATTAGTCAAGAAGGGAGGGTGTTCAGAAGGAACTACCCTGCTATGGATCGTCACTTTAAATATAGTAAGAGCTGGGTGCGCAGGTGACACACCAGGCCAGAAGCCCTTGTCCGCGGGGGGTCCCAGTGGGACTTTTAAGTCGGTTCCCCCCTAGCACCAGCTCCTGCTTCCCCCTCCCTTGCTGTCTCTGATAGGCTTATCGGGTAGTCGACTAACTGACTATTCTTTTACATCCCTAGCTGGGACTACTATTAAGACACCAACAGGGTAGCAGTGTTACAGCACAATATTTGTTAACTGTTGGCTTTTCCAAATTCATTCTGTCACCTTCTCCTCGGTAAATTTCTCTGTCACAACCCCTGGACTCAGCATTTGGGAGTGGAGAAAAATTGCCCGTCAGCGATGCCCAAACTGGTGCATATCATTTCGCAGGTTTCAGGGTGGGGGTGTGAGTTTCTGTTAGTTAAATCTTTAAAGAAAATTGAACTAGGCCCTTTTTGTTGCCTATATCATCTATCAGAAGGAATACACATAGATAGACCAACTCTGTGGCTAAATACACTTGGACAGCTTGAGGCAGGTGGAATCTTGAAGGGGCGGGGAATGGCTGCCTTCAATACATTGTTTATTCATAAATTCATAGAAGTCTTTCTTCGGTGGACTGTGTTCCTAAAGGATGGGTGTGGTACAGTCACAATACAGTTCAGACTAAGGCACTCTAGTCTATATGTTTACTAACACCCCCCTACCCTAACAAATGGATAAAGGTTTTCAGAGTTTGTTTTTCATTAAGGCATCAGTAATGAAGCAATTACGTTTTTCTGGGCACTTTAAAATGACTTTTCCAAACTTTCAAATATTTGGGTTTCTTTTCACTTTAACATTAAACCACCAAATGGACAGAAATGTAAGATCAGTTTTCTGATAGTGACAATTCTCAGTAAGAGTACGCATTTAACAACTCTGTGGTTACAGATATGTACTGTCAACCTTAACTCCAATGTAAAGATTTTTTTAATGGGAATTCCATAAATACAAATGTTGGTTACACTGGATCTAGATGTATTTTTTACTTCTGCATTTATATTCCATTAAACAAAAGAAAGTTTGTCGCATAATTACAAGTGACATTACCTGTCATAAAAGGGGTAAGTAGATTTTAGGAAGAAAAGTCATAATGGGATAAGGAATCTGGCTAGTCTCAAACTATGAATTGCAATCAAAATGCTTTGAAAAGGTCAAATATGCACATCATATGTGGTGTAGCAAATTGGCTTTGATGACAGCTCTTTATAGATCAAATAACTAAGGTATGTTTGTTAAGAAATTTCACTGCCTGGTGAGACTATTACTATTTAAATGTGTCACTCATCATGATACCATATGACAACAAGTTATAACCCAGCATCCATGTCTCAAAAAGATGTAGTTACTCTGAAAGGGAAATCCATGAAGGATACCAGCCAGTAGTGGTCTGGAGTTGTTGGGCAAACTCCCTCTCTCGCTCTGCTCCCACTGTTGCCTTTAATGCCATTAGCTGCCATGAAAACAGCTAACATAAAACAGGACTGTAGGTTTAGGCAAGCAGCTTGCTGGCCTGAGCAACTCTTTTGCTGTGATACTCTGCTGAGCCTCTGGAGTGTGGCCAGAGACCAGCCTTCTGGGGAGATAGGGAATTGGGAGAACCATCCACAAAAAGGAAGCAAAAAAGTTAGACAACACAAAGTGTAGTAACCCATTGGCAAGGAAGGGAAGAGATTACAAAATAAAGACAAATATTCAACAGAGACATTGAAATGGAGATACAATGACAACTGTACTAGAACACGGGAGGAGGAGACTATAAACTATGGTGTATACCATCCCCCACTGGCAAGGAACAAGAGCAATTACAGTTTGTCCTAAAAAATTAAACTGCGTGGTTTTTATAGCAAGAACATCAGCTTTAAATGTACAAGCAACAATTGCCCTTCACAGCTGGGCTTTTATCATGCCCTTGGGACAAAAATATTTGCTTTGAATCCAGGAAGAAAAAAGTTACTGTAGCCTTGGTGTTTCTGAACACATGCAGTCCTAGAATGCCAACAAAAAACAGAAGCAAAAAAACCATTTATAT